GGAGGGGGGGGGGGACTCCGATCGGGTTAGCAAGCCCCCCACCCCCGGTGCCGAGCGAGACGAGTCCGAAACCTCCTCCCCGCAATCCACTGGCTGGCAGCAGCAGAAGTCGTAATTGATTACAAACAATACTCTTGGCGACTCTTGGGTCAGATGGACTGCGCCGCCTCCGCTACCCGCCAGAAATGAATAGAAAGAATATTACAATTTAATTCTGCTTGGGAATAAACTCATTCTTTTAGTTATTTTAACTGTCGTTGGATCATTCAAGAAGTGCGTCCGTCATCTGCTGTGCAAGTTACCCCTCACCCTCGAAAAATCATTACGAATTGCTCCCCGCAGAAAAAGTTGTTGATTTTCAAAGCAGTACTGTGGTTGTCGCGGTACTGACCTCCAGCCCCCTCCCTGTTCTGCTCTGTATGCGCTCCCTGCTCCTCAGCCTCATATGTCTGTCACCCCGATGCTCGCGTCTTGGTCGTTGCCTTTATGGTTGGGCGCCGCCGGGCTGCCGAGTGTGGTGGCCTGTGGGGGTGTTTGGGTTTGAGCAGAAAAAAAACAAAAACACATTATGTGGTGCGTTAAAGTCTAGTAGGCCATTTGCCTGGTCAGCCTGTATCGGGTGTAACTGTAAATACGCAGCAGTGTTGCTGGCTTGCCTACTACTTACACCCGTAAGCGGCCATATTGAGTGTGCAATCCCGCAACACTGCTGCGTATTCACGGTTACACCCGGTACCTGCTAGAGTACGGGGCTTTTAAGTACAAACCAAAGCTGTAAAAAAATAATGTTGTTTGAATTTGTTGTTTTTCAAGATCTTTTGTCGTTGTACGACAACAAGGTTTGTTATCTAACAACAAGTTGTATTCCAGAGTGATTTTTTTTAAAGAATTAGATATTGTGAAAATGTTAAATTTTATAAATAAATAATGCTTTACTTCCCGAAGAAACATTGCTGTTACATGACAAACAATGTTGTTGTTCGACAATAAGAGGCATTGAAAAACTTCTGAACAGCAGTTTGTTGTTAATTAATTAATTAACAACGTTATTTTTTACAGTGCACAGTCAATTTCAACGTGATTCATGTACGGTCATCCCGTACCTTCTCCACCAGTTTCCCGTACCCGATCCTGTACCATTGTACAGAGTTTGGGTTTGTGGCAGTGTATGTGTGAGGCAAAAGGGGGAAGGGGGGGGGGGTGTCCGACCAAGTAAATTGCGCCGAGAGTTAGTGCTTTCCTTACAATTAGGGCAGCGTAAGTCTTTAATTACAGCGTCCGGACTAACTGCAAGGAAAAGGGAGCGCGTCACATACTGCGGGGTGCTTTGTCTCCCCCCCCCCTCCTCTCCCTCCTCGTGATGGCGCTAACCCGCCCGATTGCCGTCTGTCTCCCCCTCCCCCCTCCCGTCACCGCATTTGTTCCCATTTACCTATCACATCTTGGCTCTCAATTTCTTTTCTGCATTACATTCCCTCATTGCCGCTACGATGAACGAACCCCCCCCCCAACCCTCGTTGCGTACAGGAACGTCACACGTCACACGGTACAAACGGCGTCCTCATGGTTTTCAAGCAGTTTGGGAAAAACCAAGACATGCCCATGCATATCTTCCAAAAGACGTCTTGGTTTTTCCAAAACTCGTTGAAAACAGGACGTCGTTTTTCCAGCGCACAGCCCGCACTGTTAAATTCCTACAAAGCATTCGCTTTGCAGAACTGCAAAGTATTTTGAGCCTTTGTAACAAAAGCATTTACTTTGCAATCACAAAGAGATGCTTTGCAATTGCAAAGCAATGAAACACGCTGCAAAGCATCGTTTGCAATTGCAAAGCGTCACTTCGTAATTGCAAAGCATCACTATGTAATTGCAAAGTAAATGGCTTTGAAGTTGCAAAGGATCTAAATAACACTTTGCAGGAATCTAACAGTGCGCGGGACATTGATCCCCGTTTACTTCAAACTGTCCCGCCCGCCCTGCCTCGCTCCCCTGTGAGAGGCTCCAGCCCCGGGCCTAGCAGGCCGGAAGCAGTATGCCGTCAGCCAGGGGGAAGAAATGTGCCCGGAGAATCTTCAAAGGGCCGAGCGGAGCGGCGGTGGCCTGTGGTCCCAGCCACAACCCCGTCCCTCCCCCTCCCCTCTCCCACCTTTGCCCCACACTGACCTTAACCTTTTAGACGCCCCTTTATGGCTCACGAGGGAGTCGATACCTGTTGGCGACATGACTAACTCAGTGTGACCGCCAGTGACTCACGCTTGAGTTCCTACCGACTCGATTATAAAAACAACTTCATATCCACAGTTTGAGATAAAACTGCAAATAAATTCGGGCGGGAATTCATCAAAGAATACATAATTGTTGCCGGTTTACCACACTCTCCGCTTGTACAATGGGGTGCCTAGCGACCCAAGAGAGTATTCATGTCTGGGTGAAAGTCCGCCGCATGCAATGTTTGCAAAAGCCAAAAGGCCGAATTCAGTCATTGCGGTGAATGCCCAATACTTGAGTTGTAATTAATTAAATCTGTAATTCATAGATTTCTGCTTTTTTTTTTTTTTTGAGATTCGCTGGTTGGGAACTCTAAAATAAAGGGAAAGAAGTGGGAGGGGGGGGGGGATAATAATGTCTGTTTTGTGTGGGCGATTGAAATGGGGGTAGTGTTGTCCTTCCTACACATATGGGAATAGGGGTCTCCAACATAATAAAAACTAGAAAACACGACAAAAAACACAAAAAAATAACAAATTTAAAAACATAACACTCGCCGCAAAAACTGGAGACATCGTACTTTTCCCCTAACATTAATATGCACTCCCGCAACATTGATGTGTATTCTCTGATACCACTGATACCCAACCCACAGCAAAGTATTTTTAGGGGCTACTTGTCTAAAAGTCACTTCTTTCTTTAAAAGATTAATGCGCTGAACGAAAAGCGTTGCCGGCACCGCAATTAACAACCAAGCCTTGTACTCAGACTGAAAACCAGGTTCTCTAGTAACAAGCTTACAAAGCTTACTAAGCTGTAATGTTGGCGTGGTTCAGTAGTGCCATGACAAAGCTAGCGTGCGGCCGGGGGTGGGAGGGAGGGGCCTGACCCCGTCTGACTCGGCCCGACCCCCCCAACGGCTGCTGCTGCTGACCATGTTATTGGCACGCCACATGCTCTGGCCTGGTCGGATCTGGCTGTGTCTGGACGTCTTACTTCCTGCGACGCACGTGAGGAGCGCTGCGGCGGCGAGGATGATGCTGGCGGAGCTCCTGGGGGAGGCCATCGCCTGTGTTTGTCTTGGGACTGCTGCTGCTGCTGCTGCGCCGCTGCGCCGCGGCCCGCCGTCCCCCGACCCAGGGGGTCAGGGAGTTTATCGCAGAGGTCCGCTGCTGTGGTGGGGCGGCCTCTTGTTGAGCTGCCCGAGCCCTCGCCGGCAGCGCCAGAGGCAGCAGCCAGAGGCAGCAGCCAGAGGCAGCGCCCGCACTACCTCGCCGGAGCCCGCCGGCCTGTCGCGGCCCAGACGACTGGCCGGGACGCGGCCGTCATGGTTTCGGGAAGGAGACACGGGGGGCCTCTTCCTGTGAATAACGCTACCGGGTACTAGCGAGAGGCCTGTGTTCTGCGAATAACTCACAGCCTTGCGAGCGCAGGCGGGAATGTTTGATTTCGACGGCCACTCGTTCACTCACTCACTC